ATAAGCTACCCAGTCTATGGTAAATGGACTAAGACATACTTCTTGAACCCCCATGTGTTTTTCCAAAGAATAAATGCATCACATTTTACGCAAGATGTATGTGTGCACTGGGGCCGTCTAGCCTGCCCTGGCCTGGTGATCAGGCCCGGGAGTCATTGAAGTTTCCCATTCTCTGAAAGCGGAGGAAATGGCAGCTATGGGAAAGCTGCCTTTTGCTAACACAATAGAGCCTTGACAATAATATACAACTACTTTTGTCATATTCCACTGGTCACACAGAGCAACCCCAATGCAATAGGAGGACATTCCACATAGCCATGAGTACCAGGAGGGGTGATCACTGGGAGACTCCTTGGAAGCCGGCTGCTACCATGAGGCAGGCATTATCCTTATCTCTGTTTTACAGAGGAGAAACAGGAGCTCCAACAAATAATTGCTCAAGTCACTCAACTTGGAACGAGGAGGGCTGGGGTTTAAACCCAGACAATGAGGCCCCAGAACACATCCCTTCAGAGCACTGCCCTAGGCTCTGGCCTCACCACAGCCCTTTTTTTTCTAACTTCCTCTCTTCCCCTCATCGCACAAAACATTGCAAATGAGATTTTTCCTTTTGCTTAGACCATTTCAAAAGTCATTGTTACTTAAGGGTGGAGGTTGGAGCATTTCCAAAGAATAAAATATGCAGAGAATATCCAACCAAAGTTCCTAACACATATACAATTCAGAAAATGTAACACACAGACAAGGGATGACAAGACCATTGACCCAATTTCAGGGCTTGACGTTTACCAAATGAACGCAAGGCAGTGTGGGTGGTGTGTGCATTCCGTTATGTTTCTCTCCTTTGGGGTTGTTTGGGTCAGTCTGTTGTCTCATGAGACTGGGTGGGCTAAATTGAGCAACATTTTGCCATAATAAGTCTGCAAGATTAGACCTTAGGCAACAAAAGCCGGAAAGAGAAACTGCATTTCCTATAAAATGTGGAACTGTGGGATAACAGTGTTACAACACTATGACTACAAAGGGGAAATTTATATATGAGAAGGAACTGGATTGTATGTCACCTGTATAAATGATCATGAGAAAGAGGAAGTCATGTTGTTCTTTTGTTGTGATCTTTTAAACCAAATTTATAGAGCATTGCACCAAACAATTGTAGGCCATTATTTTAAAGTAGGCTGTAGCACGTCATGAATTAATAATCACACCAATTTTATTTTGCTTCATTGTATTTATTTAACAACTGTTTTTAGTACTTCCTATATCCCAGGTCCTCTTCTAAGCACTGTTAACGTATTAACACATTTCAGTTAATCCTGGCAACAGCCTGGGAGGTAGGTACGATTACTATTCCCATTTTACAGATGGGGACACTGAAGCATGGAGCAATTAAGTAACCAGACAAGATTCAACTGGGATTCAAACCAGGCATTCTGGCTCCAGAACCAACCTTTTTAATCAGGCTCTCTGCCTTGTGCAAAAAGATGGTGAGTTAGTCCGTTCTCACACTGCTATAAACAAATACCCGAGAGTGGGTAATTTATAAAGAAAGGAGGTTGAATTGGCTCATGGTTCTGCAGGCTTCACAGAAATCATGGTGGCTTTTGCTTCTGGGGAGGCCTCAGGAAGGTTCCAATCATGGCAGAAGGCAAAGGGGGTGCGAGGTGCCTTACATTGTGGGAGGGAGCAGGAGCAAGAGAGAGCTAGGGTGGAGGTGCTGCACACTTAAAAACCAAACCTCACAAGAACTCATTCACTATCACGAGAAGAGCACCAAGGTGATGGGTGGAGAAATCCACCCCCATGATCCAATCACCTCCCACCAGGCCCCACCTCCAACACTGGGGTCTACAGTTCCACACGGATTTGATGGGGACACACACCCAAATTGTGTCTGATGGACACATAGTTTATTCTCTTCTGTGACTCTGCATAGCCCATTCTTGCCACTGGGACCCCCTTCCCTCCCAATCCTCATGGTTTTCCCTGCCTGTCAGCAAACTCATGCTCCTTTTTCAAGCATCAACTGGGATTTACCCTCTACTATGAAGTCTTTGACTCACATACAGATTTAGGCACCTGTTTATTGTGTTCTCAGTATGTCTTACTCTTACTATAGAGATATTTGTTGTTTTTTATCTACCTAGTGTTAAATTAAATAAGCATGAGGCATTGGCCAGAGGCTCTCTCCATATTTTGAGTTTCTGTGGAACAAACAGCAACCTAAAGGATGTAAATAAACTGAAACCTAATATAGGACTATATTTTTGTAACATATAGCCTGGTTTCAGCCAATCACAAAGGAGCTTCAGCCAGTGATAAGCAGCCAAGTGATGAGGCCACGCCCAATAAGGCAGATGCCTAGCTGTAGCCAATCAAGTGGTTTCTCTACATTGCTTTTGTGTTCAGCCTAGAAAAGCTCACTGCTCACACCACCTAGTGGAGTTTTCTGAACCTCTTCTGGTTCTGAGTGCTGCCTGATTCATGAATCGTCCTTTGCCCAGATAAACTCTGTAAATTTAATTTGTCTAAAGCGTTTTAACACTAGCTTTTATTCTCCCTTCTCCCACAACAGTTCTGCAACCCATCCTACACCCACCTACTTTAGGGGTAGCCCATGTGATTTAAGTCTAGCCAATCAGAGCTCTAAGGAGCTACAGTTCAGAGGTGATCATGTGACCCAGGTCCATCCAACTAGAGTGAATCCTGGGACTGAGCAGGGAAGAAACACAGAAGTTTTTATTACAAGCCTGGAGCTACCAGCAGACTTTGCATACTGCCTGAGCATGAAGCAAAAATAAAGAGAGTGAAAGGAATGAGAGTGAGACAGAGTCTGCTGGTGATCTTTGATCCTCTGAATCATGCCTCGCTTAAATTTAAGATATATTCTTGGACTCTGTGCATTAACAAATTCCCTTTTGGAGCTTAAGCCTGCTTGAGTTTTTTGTCATTTGCAACCAAAGGAACATTAACCAATACATACATTTCACTATATATCTGTGTCTACATATCTATATGTATTGCATTTTACCAAAGTGTCTCCCTACTAACCATAATTCTTTGAGGGTAGTAGATGCTCAATATTTGTCAAATGAATTTAGCTGAAGGATGTTTTGAAGGAGACTGACCCTAGGGAAGGGACAACTTTATGGAGGCTAATGAACTTAGTCAGTGCAAGATATGGTCATGGGACTCAACCAATTTGAAGAGTGGGATTGAAAGGGAAGGGACAAATACCAAAGAAAGATTTCACAAGGCAGTGATACAGAATGGGGTGGAACAATAGTTACATTAAAGCCTGAGTGCTACCCTGTTCTGCATATTTGTGTGTTTTGGTAAGTGTCTCTTTAGCAGCCAGCCTAAATTAAAATTTTATTCTACTGGCTGAGTATTGCCTGTCTCTGCTAGTTTGCACAAGTGAAAAAATTAATGATAGAGAATCAGAGACTCACATACGAGCAAATAAGCATGATATTTACAAGAAATAGCTTTCATTAAACAATACCTTCAGGTCTTCATAAGAATAGGGGTGGAAGTTCAGAGACCCACATAACTCAGTTTGCAGTAAAGGCTGTTCCTGGGCAATTTAATGG